AAATTTTGGTCAATGACATGAGACAAAGTATATGTGAACTGCTGTATGAAAAGTGAATTTACTCTGTAAATCTTCACCCAAATCCTAAAAAAAAAACAGTCCAAAGGACTAATGGACCATGAGAACCTCAGCCTATGTGACCCTGAGACCAGAAGAACTAGATGGTGCCTGGCTACCAATGCCAGCCACCTGGGGATCAGAATTGGAGATCCTGGATAGAGTAGGAGAAAAATGTAGAAGAAGACTCAAAACCATAAAAAGACCAGGCTTACTAATTTGAGAGAGACTGATGAAACCCCTGAGACTATGGCCCTGAGTCACCCTTTGGGCCTGAAATTGAACCTACTCTCATGGCTTAACTCTCTGCCAAACAATAGATAGGACTACAAGCTGAACGCCTGTACCAGGGAGATGCACTCCCCAAAATAGTCAACTATGGGAGATGAGAAGGACAGCATTTCCACAGGGAGAAACGTAAGGAAACGGGAATACATAAGCATAGGGAACAGGTAACCACGGAGAGGAAGTGGAAAGGGAGCTTTTATACTATGGGAGTTGTAACCAATGTCACAAAAGAGAAAAAAATTAACTGGGGGAAAAAAAGACGTATTCAGCTGACATCAGAACCAACTTAGGGAACCCTGTTATAAGTCAAGTACTATGTGTACATTACCTCAAAAGGCTGTCACATGTCACAGATCAGCTAAACCAGCAGATACAGTGGCTGTTATAGGGAATGCATTTACTTCTATTTATCGCATCCCCAGGAGGACTTTTAGGTTTGCCAGGGCTTGGAGACCTTGGTGAGAAGTGGGGAAGCCTGTGTTAGTGGGACGAGACTGCAGGCATTTGTAGCAGGTCCCTTCCAGAAGCAGCTAAAGTGCATTATGCTGTCTTCCTAAAGAACTGGAGGAGGGGGTTCCCTACACTTTAGTAGCTTTCTTTGATGCTCCTTGTTGTATAACTAGTCTCTTCATTCTAAAATAACACTGTCCAATAGAATGATAATGCACATCACAAATGCAACCTCCATAGCTCCATATGTAAATTTAAATTTCTTATAGCCACGATAAAAAAGAAAAGTGAAATTTTAATATTTAAAATATATTGGAAAGTTATTTCAACACTTAATAAATACATTTTAATGTTAATGAGATATTTTACATTCATTCATTTTTTCATATTAAGTCTTCAAAATCCAGTGTGTATTTTATATTTTCAGTCCTTCTCAATTCAGATTAGCCACATCTCAAGTGTTCATTAGCCACATTTCAAGCAACACAGGACTAGAGGCTGTTGTATTAGCACAGATCTAGAATAATCCCAGGGGCAGCGGTGCTTCAGTGTTAGCATTTCACCTTCCGCATGGGAGACCCAGGTTTGAGTTCCAGCTAACGCACCTCATGTGTATCCACAACCCATCTGTCACTGGAGGTTTATGTGTTGCTTTGACACTGAGCAGGTTTCAGCAGAGCTTCCAGACTTATGTCAAAACCAGCAGTGACTAGTAGCATGACACCAGCTACCACCAGTACATGGATTAGGAAGAAAGTCCTGGGAGTCTACTTCTGAAAATCATCTAGTGAAAATCCTATGGTTCACTGTCAGGACTATGGCCCCTCAGCACCCTTCAGGCTTGAGCTCACTCCCATGGCTTAACTTCTAGCCAAACAAGAGATAGGTCTACAAAGTGAACAATTATACCAGTAGGTACACTCCTTACAACAAGCAATCATGGGAGATCAGAAAGGTAACATTTGCACAGGGAGAGAACTCAGAGGGCAGGAATGCCTAGGAAAGAAGACATGGGAAAGGGTAACCACAGGGAGGAAGTGGGAAGAGAGCTATTGGATTGTAGGGAGTCAGTGTCATGAAACAAAATGTGTATGAACTCTTGAAAACGAATTTGCTCTGTAAACTTTTACCCAAATCACAATAAAAAAGAAAATCCAATGGGTCAGAACAGAATGTGAAATTCTTATGAAATTGAGACTTTCCTGAGCCTTTGAAGCTAGATGAACACCTGAAACTATTGCCCTGAGATAATCTTTAAACTTTAAGCCAATAATATCCTCTGAAGTCTTACTTAAACTAAATAATGCTTGCCTTAAGCATTGTGCTCTTTTAAGGACTATCTACAGGGTATCAAAGGAGCTCTT